AAAAACAGATTTACACATTTTGAAAATACATAATTAAATTTTAATCGAAAACTTTAAAAAATATCACTTGTTTAAGAGAAAAAACTAGTTTGCAAAATCGTAAAAATTTTAATTTATTTTCTGTTTCAACTCAATGCCAGCCTAAACAATATTAATTTATTTTTCTTAGTTAGAATATTTAATAAATTACTGTTAAAAAATCAACAATCTACTATTAAAAACGTTCGTTTATTATTCTTTAATAATATATTAAAGAGAATAAAAGTTTTTGGCTTATACCCTACACTATAGTCTATAAATAGACAAGACATTGTTACCAAAGCTGCTGTTTATCAAAAGTTTTATAGTTTTTTTTTTTTTTTAAATTAAATACTTGTTTTTTTTTTAATCAATAAACTAATATTTAAATTATTCTTGAATTTCCTAATGAAATAGTATTAGGGCACGTGCCTCGGTTTTTCAAGTAGCTACTTCTTTTAATATGCATATCAAACTAATTTTAAACAAGCGATAAGGTTTAGTTCAGACTTGAGAATAATTAAAGAGATTTTAGATTTCTATTGAAAAAATCCTACACTTTAGATTCATTTAGATGTTACTATTAGTGTAAGAAAGTAATTATTTGTACAAATTGTTTACTTTGAACATTTTGCTAAATTATCTACAATTTATTTAGACATTTTGCCACTGTGCAATATTAAACAAGCATTTTCTTAAATATGTAATACACAAAAACATTTAACATTTCTTAAATTTTTGTGAATCTTTTTTTTTAATAAAACAAAATTCATCACATCCTCATTGCCAGGGATGGAAAATTCAGATCTATAATACGTTTTGATATCGGAAGATACGACAGTCTGTTTTATATAGTAATATAGACTAGTCTATAATCTAGTCTTGCAATAGTCTAATCTATAGTTTAGTATATAATCTAGTCTATAGTCTAGTCTGTAGTCTAGTCTATAGTCTAGTCTGTAGTCTAGTCTATAGTCTAGTCTATAGTCTAGTCTGTAGTCTAGTCTATAGTCTAGTCTGTAGTCTAGTCTATAGTCTAATCTATAGTCTAGTATATAGTCTAGTCTATAGTCTAGTCTATAGTCTAGTCTATAGTCTAGTCTATAGTCTAGTCTATAGTCTAGTCTATAGTCTAGTCTATAGTCTAGTCTATAGTCTAGTCTATAGTCTAGTCTATAGTCTAGTCTATAGTCTAGTCTATAGTCTGGTCTATAATATATTCTATAGTCTAGTCTATAGTCTAGTCTATAGTCTAGTCTATAGTCTAGTCTATAGTCTAGTCTATAGTCTAGCCTATAGTCTAGTCTATAGTCTAGTCTATAGTCTAGCCTATAGTCTAGTCTATAGTCTAGTCTATAGTAGTCTATAGTCTAGTCTATAGTCTAGTCTATAGTCTAGTCTATAGTCTAGTCTATAATATATTCTATAGTCTAGTCTATAGTCTAGTCTATAGTCTAGTCTATAGCTAGTCTATAGTCTAGTCTATAGTCTAGTCTATAGTCTAGTCTATAGTCTAGTCTATAGTCTAGTCTATAGTCTAGTTATAGTCTAGTCTATAGTCTAGTCTATAGTCTAGTCTATAGTCTAGTCTATAGTCTAGTCTATAGTCTAGTCTATAGTCTAGTCTATAGTCTAGTCTATAGTCTAGTATAGTCTAGTCTATAGTCTAGTCTATAGTCTAGTCTATAGTCTAGTCTATAGTCTAGTCTAGTCTATAGTCTAGTCTATAGTCTAGTCTAGTCTAGTATAGTCTAGTCTAGTCTAGTCTATAGTCTAGTCTATAGTCTAGTCTAGTCTATAGTCTAGTCTATAGTCTAGTCTATAGTCTAGTCTATAGTCTAGTCTATAGTCTAGTCTATAGTCTAGTCTATAGTCTAGTCTATAGTCTAGTCATAGTCAGTCTATAGTTAGTCTAGTCTATAGTCTAGTCTATAGTCTAGTCTAGTCTATAGTCTAGTCTATAGTCTAGTCTATAGTCTAGTCTATAGTCTAGTCTAGTCTATATCTAGTCTAGTCTATAGTCTAGTCTATAGTCTAGTCTATAGTCTAGTCTATAGTCTAGTCTATAGTCTAGTATATAGTCTAGTATAGTCTAGTCTATAGTCTAGTCTATAGTCTAGTCTATAGTCTAGTCTATAGTCTAGTCTATAGTCTAGTCTATAGTCTAGTCTATAGTCTAGTCTATAGTCTAGTCTATAGTCTAGTCTATAGTCTAGTCTATAGTCTAGTATATAGTCTAGTCTATAGTCTAGTCTATAGTCTAGTCTATAGTCTAGTCTATAGTCTAGTCTATAGTCTAGTCTATAGTCTAGTCTATAGTCTAGTCTATAGTATATATAGTCTAGTCTAGTCTATAGTCTAGTCTATAGTCTAGTCTATAGTCTAGTCTATATATAGTCTATAGTCTAGTCTATAGTCTAGTCTATAGTCTAGTCTATAGTCTAGTCTATAGTCTAGTCTATAGTCTATAGTCTAGTCTATATATATAGTCTATCTATAGTCTAGTCTATAGTCTAGTCTATAGTCTAGTCTATAGTCTATAGTCTAGTCTATAGTCTAGTCTATAGTCTAGTCTATAGTCTAGTCTATAGTCTAGTCTATAGTCTAGTTTAGAGTTAGTAGTCTATAGTCTCTAGTCTATAGTCTATAGTCTATAGTCTAGTCTATAGTCTAGTCTATAGTCTAGTCTATAGTCTAGTCTATAGTCTAGTCTATAGTCTAGTCTATAGTCTAGTCTATAGTCTAGTCTATAGTCTAGTCTATAGTCTAGTCTATAGTCTATAGTCTATAGTCTAGTCTATAGTCTATAGTCTAGTCTAGTCTATAGTCTAGTCTAGTCTAGTCTAGTCTAGTCTAGTCTAGTCTAGTCTAGTCTATAGTCTAGTCTATAGTCTAGTCTAGTCTATAGTCTAGTCTATAGTCTAGTCTATAGTCTAGTCTATAGTCTAGTCTATAGTCTAGTCTATAGTCTAGTCTATAGTCTAGTCTATAGTCTAGTCTATAGTCTAGTCTAGTCTAGTCTAGTCTATAGTCTAGTCTATAGTCTAGTCTAGTCTATAGTCTAGTCTATAGTCTAGTCTAGTCTATAGTCTAGTCTATAGTCTAGTCTATAGTCTAGTCTATAGTCTAGTCTATAGTCTAGTCTATAGTCTAGTCTATAGTCTAGTCTATAGTCTAGTCTATAGTCTAGTCTATAGTCTAGTCTATAGTCTAGTCTATAGTCTAGTCTATAGTCTAGTATAGTCTAGTCTATAGTCTAGTCTATAGTCTAGTCTATAGTCTAGTCTATAGTAGTCTATAGTCTAGTCTAGTCTATAGTCTAGTCTATAGTCTAGTCTAGTCTATAGTCTAGTCTATAGTCTAGTCTATAGTCTAGTCTATAGTCTAGTCTATAGTCTAGTCTATAGTCTAGTCTATAGTCTAGTCTATAGTCTAGTCTATAGTCTAGTCTATAGTCTAGTCTATAGTCTAGTCTATAGTCTAGTCTATAGTCTAGTCTATAGTAGTCTAGTCTATAGTCTAGTCTATAGTCTAGTCTATAGTCTAGTCTATAGTCTAGTCTATAGTCTAGTCTATAGTCTAGTCTATAGTCTAGTCTATAGTCTAGTCTATAGTCTAGTCTATAGTCTAGTCTATAGTCTAGTCTATAGTCTAGTCTATAGTCTAGTCTATAGTCTAGTCTATAGTCTAGTCTATAGTCTAGTCTATAGTCTAGTCTATAGTCTAGTCTATAGTCTAGTCTATAGTCTAGTCTATAGTCTAGTCTATAGTCTAGTCTATAGTCTAGTCTATAGTCTAGTCTATAGTCTAGTCTATAGTCTAGTCTATAGTCTAGTCTATAGTCTAGTCTATAGTCTAGTCTATAGTCTAGTCTATAGTCTAGTCTATAGTCTAGTCTATAGTCTAGTCTATAGTCTAGTCTATAGTCTAGTCTATAGTCTAGTCTATAGTCTAGTCTATAGTCTAGTCTATAGTCTAGTCTGTAGTCTAGTCTATAGTCTAGTCTATAGTCTAGTCTATAGTCTAGTCTATAGTCTAGTCTGTAGTCTAGTCTATAGTCTAGTCTATAGTCTAGTCTAGTCTATAGTCTAGTCTATAGTCTAGTCTAGTCTATAGTCTAGTCTAGTCTAGTCTATAGTCTAGTCTAGTCTAGTCTAGTCTATGTAGTCTAGTCTATAGTCTATCTATAGTCTAGTCTATAGTCTAGTCTATAGTCTAGTCTATAGTCTAGTCTATAGTCTAGTCTATAGTCTAGTCTAGTCTATAGTCTAGTCTAGTCTATAGTCTAGTCTATAGTCTAGTCTATAGTCTAGTCTATAGTCTAGTCTATAGTCTAGTCTATAGTCTAGTCTATAGTCTAGTCTATAGTCTAGTCTATAGTCTAGTCTATAGTCTAGTCTATAGTCTAGTCTATAGTCTAGTCTATAGTCTAGTCTATAGTCTAGTCTATAGTCTAGTCTATAGTCTAGTCTATAGTCTAGTCTATAGTCTAGTCTATAGTCTAGTCTATAGTCTAGTCTATAGTCTAGTCTATAGTCTAGTCTATAGTCTAGTCTATAGTCTAGTCTATAGCCTAGTCTATAGTCTAGTCTATAGTCTAGTCTATAGCCTAGTCTATAGTCTAGTCTATAGCCTAGTCTATAGTCTAGTCTATAGTCTAGTCTATAGTCTAGTCTATAGTCTAGTCTATAGTCTAGTCTATAGTCTAGTCAATAGTCTAGTCTATAGTCTAGTCTATAGTCTAGTCTATAGTCTAGTCTATAGTCTAGTCTAGTCTTTTGTTTATTCCATAGCCTAGTCTATAGTTTGTCTGTAGTCTTGTTTGTTATCTTGTCTATAGTCCAGTAAGTAGCCTTGTCTGTAGTCTAGTCTATAGTCTATTCTTTAGTCTAGACTGTAGTCGATAGACTAGCTTTTCTATAGTCTAATGTCTTTTTGTATAAAAGAAGACTATTCCAAAAATTGCAATTTTCCATGACTGTAGAATGTGTTCTCTTCGACCTTGACCGACCATAATTCTACTTTTGACTAAACTAAACATTGATTTTATGCCTAAAATTGAATCTAAACATGACTTTAAGCCACAAAATTAAAAAACCGGATTGTTTTAGCTTAATATGTATAATTTATAAAAAAAAATGCTAGAAAAGTAGACGTTATGACCACAAAGCATGTTGGATTGTTCTTTGTTCAGAACTAAGCCGCAAATTAAATCTTTGAACAGAAAATCAAGAACCACTAGTAGTAGTTCTAGTAAATGTACTTGTTCGAATAATGTTGCACGTATAATATGAAATATTTAAGCATGATCGTCAAAATTCTATGGTAAGTTTCCATATAAGTAATGTTTTCAGAATCGAAATTTAAAAAAAACTGAAAATGGTTATTGTACTCCCTTGAACCCAATAAGTTGCATAATTACTTATTTAATGTTGTAAGTTGTATGTAGCATGTATTTTGTTGTTTTTCTTCTTTAGTTTTATAAACTAAATTTATAAAAATTTGAAATTTTTTTTTCTAGAAAATTAAAATTAAAATAAGTATTTACTCGATTATGGCATAATATTTGTATGTTGTTGGTATTGTACATATGGTGTGATTTTACCAGTTGGAAAAGCAGGCGTCATTACACGTTAATTTTACTCACTGGTGGTCATGGTCAATTAAACTATTTAAAAATTTTTAGATTTTTATTCCAAAGATAAAAGAAAATTACTCTAAAGCCCCAAAATAGCATTTAACAAAAATATTTATTTGTTTTTTTTTTTAACATTTGTGTTAAAAAATATTTTATTTATTTTATAGATTTTCATATTATTTTGTTGTGAAAGGTACTTAAGAGCCATAACACCGTGTGTAATAGATACTTATTCAAGTTTTATTGTAGGAAACTATTTAAAAAGTACATTTATTTTTTATTTTTGGAATGTAAAAGTTGAAGAAAATTTTTAATAGATTTTTTTTCTTGTTTTTTCTTTTCAGCATGAAATATTTTATATTGGCACAGTGCTGCTCTTATGTCTGGGGAGTTGTTTAACAGCAGACATACTAATGGTTACAATGGGTGGCACAAAATCACATAAAATTCCCTTTTGGGAATTAGCCAAAGGTTTAATACACAGGTGAGTTGAACTTCAAAACGTATACAATTGGAAAGTTGTAATCGTGTTACTTAATATATAAAAGAGTCGCGTTACTGACTGACTTATTCATCATCGCACAACCCAAACGGTCGAGAATATAGTTTAGTCTATAGTCTAGTCTGGGCTATATTCTAGTTCATAGTCTGAACTACAGTTTATTCAATAGTCTAAAATCTGAACTAAAGCTTAGTATATAACCTGAATATAGTTTATAGTGTGGAAAATACTTTAGTCGATAGTATGGACTACAGTTTAGTGTATAGTCTAGCTTATAGCCTGAACTACGGTCTAGTGGACAATATCTAGTCTAAAGTCTGGAATATATTCTAGTTTATACTCTGAACTATAGTATAGTCTGGAATATTGCATTGTCTGGACTATAGTAAAGTCCAAACTATAGTCTAGTCTGGACTTTAGAATAATATAGTTTGGACTGTGGTATAGTCTGGATTATAGCTAACCCTGCACTATAGATTAGTCTATAATCTAGTCTATAGTCTAGCTATAGTCTAGTCTATAGTCTAGTCTATAGTCTAGTCTATAGTCTAGTCTATAGTATAGTCTATAGTCTAGTCTATAGTCTAGTCTATAGTCTAGTCTATAGTTTAGTCTATAGTCTAGTCTATAGTCTAGTCTATAGTCTAGTCTATAGTCTAGTCTATAGTCTAGTCTATAGTCTAGTCTATAGTCTAGTCTATAGTCTAGTCTATAGTCTAGTCTATAGTCTAGTCTATAGTCTAGTCTATAGTCTAGTCTATAGTCTAGTCTATAGTCTAGTCTATAGTCTAGTCTATAGTCTAGTCTATAGTCTAGTCTATAGTCTAGTCTATAGTCTAGTCTATAGTCTAGTCTATAGTCTAGTCTATAGTCTAGTCTATAGTCTAGTCTATAGTATAGTCTATAGTCTAGTCTATAGTCTAGTCTATAGTCTAGTCTATAGTCTAGTCTATAGTCTAGTCTATAGTCTAGTCTATAGTCTAGTCTATAGTCTAGTCTATAGTCTAGTCTATAGTCTACTCTATAGTCTAATTTATAGTCTAGTCTATAGTCTAGTCTATAGTCTAGTCTACAGTCTAGTCTACAGTCTAGTCTAGTCTATAGTCTAGAGTATAGTCTATTCAATAGTCTTGTCTATAGTATAGTCTAGTCTATCGTCATAAATATGTTTTGTACGAAGCAAAATCACTTTACAAAATTTTATGATCCTTGGACCCTCAACCCCCATATAACCCCATACAGAAAACCAGTTAATGGTTATGAAATGATTCGCTATAAGATTTTATGAGATAGTATGAGTAACCATGATTGAACCTACCCTCCATATAAGGTCACCTTAATAAAATTACTTTAACTTTTATAAACAAGTTTTGTATGAACCAATTAATGATCGGTCCATAATTCACAATACCATTCATAAAAGGTTCATCTGAGAAATTCTGGCTTAAAAATACAAGTACAGCCTTGAAATTCACCACAAACAACCAAAATCGCTCTACAAGATACCTTTTCAGAAAATTGCTTAATCGGTGCATAATTGACCCTGATCCCGTATAACCCCATTAAGAAAACCAGTTTGTGGTTATAAAAAAATCAAAATTATTTGTTTATAAAAATTCAAAAGATCTCGGTCCATAATTGACTTAAGCCCTACCAAATATGGTATGGGTACATAAGATTCGGCATAGACGAATATAACACTCTCAGTTGTTTTGACTACTTTTCCCCCCTGGCATTCGGGTCAGCTAGTTATAAATGTGCAATTTCCGAATTATTTCGATACTGCCCCAATGTGCACTCTACACAACAATAAGTTTTATTTTATTTAAGTTTTTTTTTTTTTTTTGGAACATGTAAACATTTTTTTAAATTCTAAATAAAGGCCAATAAACTTGCATGTAAAAATAATCACGTTAACAAAGGAAAATGAAACAAAAGCCTAAAAAATTTCTATAAGAAAAATGTTTGAATTCCAGCACAATTGTTAAAAACTGTCAATAACATATTTGGACAATAAATTAATCATATTTTATGATGCGTGCAACAAAAAAAACTTTAAATTTGAATTATTTAAAATTCGCTTTAAAACAAACAAAAGAACAAACATTGCATTATTGAACAAATTCCACATACAATTTCATGAGCGGCAGATTTTTTGTGGTTTCAAATCTCTAGTTTTTAATTAAATACATATAACATTAAACTAAATTAACTATAATATTTATATACAAGTGCATGGTACTAAGTATTAATTACACTTAAATTTAGTTTAATCACACTTTTTAAATTTGTTTTTTATTTAATTTTTTTCCAGAGGTCACAATATAACTTTCTTAAATGGTTTTCCCTCCGATTTTCATATTAACGGTTTGCATGAGGTCACACCGGCCGGTCTAGTTGAATACATACAAAATTATACGAATTGGGATCTGCTGGGGGCACGAATGTCAGGTGAAATGCCAATATCTGTATGGGATGGTGTCCGTTATGCTTTCGAGGTGAGTAGTTTTGTTTTAAAGTGTAACAACATAAATATGCGGGTTTTGTTGTCATCGAATTTTTTTAAGTTTGTTTTAATGAAACTGTTAAGTGTGTTTATAGTTTATATATTTTCTTATAACTTAATCATTTCGTCGTCACTTGCTGACTTGTCTAATTTACAGTCATTAATAATTTTAGTTGTATTCAAAATGATTAATTGTTGTTATTTTGTAAGACGAAAATCCAAATATTTTGAAACTCATACTAATAGTTTAAGCTATTTATTATTTTGTACTATTATATTGGTATTATAATATGTATATAATTGCAGCTAATTTGTTTAAACTTTAAAGCACTCACAGAAATATGTTAGTAATAGTATTTAATTTTTCCTTTTAATAGAACATTTTCGATAAACTTTCTTTTAATAGTCTAGTGAACAGTCTTGTCAATAGTCTAGCTTATAGTCTAGACTATAGTCTAGTCTAGTCTATAGTATAGTCTATAGCCTGGACTATAGTCTAGTCTATAGTCTAGTCTATAGACTAGTCTATAGTCTAGTCTATAGTCTAGTCTATAGTCTAGTCTATAGACTAGTCTATAGTCTAGTCTATAGTCTAGTCTATAGTCTAGTTCCTATAAGTTCTAGTCTATAGTCTAGTCTATAGACTAGTCTATAGTCTAGTCTATAGTCTAGTCTATAGTCTAGTCTACAGTCTAGTCTATAGTCTAGTCTATAGACTAGTCTATAGTCTAGTCTATAGTCTAGTCTATAGACTAGTCTATAGTCTAGTCTATAGTCTAGTCTATAGTCTAGTCTATGGACTAGTCCAGTGATGCCAAGTGTAGGGATTTTTCCCTTTTTGTAGGGATTTTTTTCAAAAATTTCACGTGTAGGGAAAAAGGGAAAGATTTCTTACTATTGTCAAATTGTAGGGATTTTTCAATTTCATAGTTTTTAACAACTAAAAATATACTCTTTCATGTATTAAACTTTTAAATTAAAAATGAAATCAGTTTTAAGTGTATCGTTAGTAAAAATTCCGCTTGTAATTTCTACAATATATGTACCTACATATCGCTACAAGACTGGCATAATCCAAAATTCGGCTTTCTTGAACTAAACACGACATACTAAAATCTTTCATATAGATTTATGAAATTTCAAATATGTCTATTATTTTCGATGTGAAATCGATTTTTTGTAAACGTAAAAACTAAAACCCACGTTTTTGTGAATATTAGACAACTAAAAATTTAATTTCAATTTAGATGAGAAACATATTAACCTCAACTATCTGAATCTGGATTTTTAAAACCCCTTGATTTGTTTAAAAGTTATTAAAAAAATAGTTAAATGTCATTAAATATTCATATCCATTTTTCTTGAAACGACTTTTTGGATTATGCCAATCCTGTAGGGCGATATATTCTGACTCCTTATAGATAGAGTAGTCGGGGGCTTAATGCAGTAACTCAGGATTGAAAAAATGAATTTAATGTTCTGAAAATTTATAACAGTAAACCGCAAAAAGTAAACGCAAAAGTAAACCTTATTTAAAATAATTACTTTATGAAAATTTTTTTGTTGGAGGCACATAAAATAAATTTTTATCACGATTCGATATACTGCCATAAATCTTTCAATTGTTTTTTTTTAATCTTAATGAAGAGTCAGGTGGTTGGAAGATTTTGTATGATGTAAAATTGAAAGAAAAAAAAATTAAATTTTAAATTCTAGAATTTCATTCCTAAAAATTAAAAAAACATACATACATATATGTATATTATAAAACGGAGCTAATATTTTAGTTTTTGATGTTATTTTTGTATTTTTTTAAGATAAACTTGAAAAAATGGAAAAAAAGTAGTGTAGGGAAAAAGTAGGAAAATAAAAAGTGGGTGTAGTAAAACGGATTTTTTCTCATAAGCGTAGGGATTTCTGAAAAAAATCTCCTGGCATCACTGGACTAGTCTATAGTCTAGTCTATAGTTAGTCTTAGTTAGTCTATAGTCTAGTCTATAGTCTAGTCTATAGTCTAGTCTATAGTCTAGTCTATAGTCTAGTCTATAGTCTAGGTCTATAGTCTAGTCTATAGTCTAGTCTATGTCTAGTTAGTCTAGTCTATAGTCTAGTCTATAGTCTAGTCTATAGTCTAGTCTATAGTCTAGTCTATAGTCTAGTCTATAGTCTAGTCTATAGTCTAGTCTATAGTCTAGTCTATAGTCTAGTCTATAGTCTAGTCTATAGTCTAGTCTATAGTCTAGTCTATAGTCTAGTCTATAGTCTAGTCTATAGTCTAGTCTATAGTCTAGTCTATAGTCTAGTCTATAGTCTAGTCTATAGTCTAGTCTATAGTCTAGTCTATAGTCTAGTCTATAGACTAGTCTATAGTCTAGTCTATAGTCTAGTCTATAGTCTAGTCTATAGACTAGTCTATAGTCTAGTCTATAGACTAGTCTATAGTCTAGTCTATAGTCTAGTCTATAGTCTAGTCTACAGTCTAGTCTATAGTCTAGTCTATAGACTAGTCTATAGTCTAGTCTATAGTCTAGTCTATAGTCTAGTCTATAGTCTAGTCTATAGACTAGTCTATAGTCTAGTCTATAGTCTAGTCTATAGTCTAGTCTAGTCTAGTCTAGTCTAGTCTATAGTCTAGTCTATAGTCTAGTCTATAGTCTAGTCTATAGTCTAGTCTATAGTCTAGTCTATAGTCTAGTCTATAGTCTAGTCTATAGTCTAGTCTATAGTCTAGTCTATAGTCTAGTCTATAGTCTAGTCTATAGTCTAGTCTATAGTCTAGTCTATAGTCTAGTCTATAGTCTAGTCTATAGTCTAGTCTATAGTCTAGTCTATAGTCTAGTCTATAGTCTAGTCTATAGTCTAGTCTATAGTCTAGTCTATAGTCTAGTCTATAGTCTAGTCTATAGTCTAGTCTATAGTCTAGTCTATAGTCTAGTCTATAGTCTAGTCTATAGTCTAGTCTATAGTCTAGTCTATAGTCTAGTCTATAGTCTAGTCTATAGTCTAGTCTATAGTCTAGTCTATAGTCTAGTCTATAGTCTAGTCTATAGTCTAGTCTATAGTCTAGTCTATAGTCTAGTCTATAGTCTAGTCTATAGTCTAGTCTAGTATCTAGTTATAGTCTATCTATAGTCTAGTCTATAGTCTAGTCTCTATAGTCTAGTCTATAGTCTAGTCTATAGTCTAGTCTATAGTCTAGTCTATAGTACTAGTCTATAGTCTAGTCTATAGTCTAGTCTATAGTCTAGTCTATAGTCTAGTCTAAGTTCCGTCTATAGTCTATCTATAGTCTAGTCTATAGTCTAGTCTTAGTCTAGTCTATAGTCTAGTCTTATATTCGTCTAGTCTATAGTCTGTCTATAGTCTAGTCTATAGTCTAGTCTATAGTCTAGTCTATAGTCTAGTCTATAGTCTAGTCTTAGTCTAGTCTATAGTCTAGTCTATAGTCTAGTCTATAGTCTAGTCTATAGTCTAGTCTATAGTCTAGTCTATAGTTCTAGTCTATAGTCTAGTCTATAGTCTAGTATATAGTCTAGTCTATAGTCTAGTCTATAGTCTAGTCTATAGTCTAGTCTATAGTCTAGTCTATAGTCTAGTCTATAGTCTAGTCTATAGTCTAGTTCTAAGTCTAGTCTATAGTCTAGTCTATAGTCTAGTCTATAGTCTAGTCTATAGTCTAGTCTATAGTCTAGTCTATAGTCTAGTCTATAGTCTAGTCTATAGTCTAGTCTATAGTCTAGTCTATAGTCTAGTCTATAGTCTAGTCTATAGTCTAGTCTATAGTCTAGTCTATAGTCTAGTCTATAGTCTAGTCTATAGTCTAGTCTATAGTCTAGTCTATAGTCAATAGTCTAGTCTATAGTCAATAGTCTAGTCTATAGTCTAGTCTATAGTCTAGTCTATAGTCTAGTCTATAGTCTAGTCTATAGTCTAGTCTATAGTCTAGTCTATAGTCTAGTCTATAGTCTAGTCTATAGTCTAGTCTATAGTCTAGTCTATAGTCTAGTCTATAGTCTAGTCTATAGTCTAGTCTATAGTCTAGTCTATAGTCTATCTATAGTCTATCTATAGTCTAGTCTAGTCTAGTCTATAGTCTAGTCTAGTCTAGTCTAGTCTATAGTCTAGTCTATAGTCTAGTCTATAGTCTAGTCTATAGTCTAGTCTATAGTCTAGTCTATAGTCTAGTCTATAGTCTAGTCTATAGTCTAGTCTATAGTCTAGTCTATAGTCTAGTCTATGGTCTAGTCTATAGTCTAGTCTATAGTCTAGTCTATAGTCTAGTCTATAGTCTAGTCTATAGTCTAGTCTATAGTCTAGTCTATAGTCTAGTCTATAGTCTAGTCTATAGTCTAGTCTATAGTCTAGCCTATAGTCTAGGCCTATAGTCTAGTCTATGTCTAGTCTATAGTCTATCTATAGTCTAGTCATAGTCTAGTCTATAGTCTAGTCTATCTTCTAGTCTAGTATATAGTCTAGTCTATAGTCTAGTCTATAGTCTAGTCTAGTCTATAGTCTAGTCTATAGTCTAGTCTATAGTCTAGTCTATAGTCTAGTTTATAGTCTAGTCTATAGTCTTGTCTATAGTCTAGTCTATATTTAGTCTATAGTCTAGTTCTATAGTCTAGTCTATATTCTAGCCTATAGTCTAGTCTATAGTCTGTTTATAGTCTAGTCTACAGTGTTGTTTTAGTCTAGTCGATAATCTATTCTAGTCTGATGTAGAATATAGTCAAGTCTAGTTTATAGTCCAGTCTTGTCGTTAGTCTATAGTTTCTATTTTAAGGCTTTAGTTTATGCTATAGTCTTGAACATTGCCTAGTAATTACTTATGATAATCTAACTCTTAATATTGACTATAGTCTCTTTAAGAATTATCGTGTGCAAGATTTCCTTTGATAAATTAAAAAAAAAAATATATATTTTGCAAAAATTTCCTACCGTCCACTTAATCATAATACATAATACGTACATACCACATAAAATGCAGTAAATTATAAAAAATCAAAAAGTTGTTACAACAAGTTGCACGTAACATGTTTTTCTAAAAAAATCATAAATAAAATTTTACTCACACACTTGTATGGTTCAAGGTTGTTTTATAATTCATTTTTTTTTGTTTTATTTTCCATATCTTATATTTTTCTCTTATTTATATCTTTTCCAGTCATGCGATGCCATGTTGGAAGATGCTGAAACACAGGCATTATTAAATCGTAATTTCGATTTGGCCATATTAGATGGTGCATTTCCGGAATGTGCTTTGGGCATGGTGTATCAATATAAAATACCCTTTATGTATATGAATACTGTGGGTTTTTATACGGGTAGCTTGGCCAAGTCTGGTAATCCAGGATCTTATGCTGTAACACCAAATTTCTATACAGGTTTTACCGATAACATGAATTTACTGGAGAGGGCTGTGAATACAGGAGCTCAAATTTTGTCAGATGTGATGCACAAGGTATATTTAAGAAAAGAAACAAGATTTCTCAAAATATGTATATAAAATATTTCCATTCTTAAAATTCACTATAGATCGTTATGGCTTTTGTGTATCGTGTTATGAGAGAACGTTTTGGCTCCCATATGCCTCATCCTTATGAAATTTCCAAAAATGTTAGTTTCATTTTACAAAATGGTCATGCTGTTGTCTCCTATCCACGTGCTTTAAACCCCAATGTTGCCGAAGTAGCTTGCATACACTGTAAGCCCGCCAAACCTTTACCAAAAGATTTAGAAGAATTTATATCCTCCTCGGGTGAATCCGGCTTTATTTATGTCTCTATGGGTTCTTCTGTAAAAGCTGCCAATATGCCACCCACTTTAAAACGTTTACTGGTTCAAACTTTTGCCCGTTTACCTTACCATGTTCTCTGGAAGTATGAGGGAAATGCTGCCGATATTGAGGGTCTTACTGAAAATGTGAAATTGAGTCGTTGGTTACCACAGCAAGACATTTTGGGTCATCCAAAATTAAGAGCATTTGTTACTCATGGTGGTTTGTTGAGCATGTATGAAACTGTATTCCATGGAGTACCGGTGGTAACTATGCCAGTTTTCTGTGATCATGATGTAAATTCAGCGAAAGCAGAAGTTGATGGTTATGCGATAAAATTGGATTTGGCAACATTGAGTGCGCCTCAGCTGTATAAGTCGATAATGAAAGTTATACACGATCCACAGTATAGAAATGCGGCGAGGTGAGTAGAATTATCATTAGAACGAGACTAGACTATAGACCATAGAGTAGTCTACAGACTAGACTATAGATTAGACTAAAGACTAGACTATAGAATAGACTAGACTATACACTAGACTATAGACTAGACTATACACTAGACTATACACTAGACTATACACTAGACTATAGACTAGACTATAGACTAGACTATAGACTAGACTATAGACTAGACTATAGACTAGACTATAGACTAGACTATAGACTAGACTATAGACTAGACTATAGACTAGACTATAGACTAGACTATAGACTAGACTATAGACTAGACTATAGACTAGACTATAGACTAGACTATAGACTAGACTATAGACTAGACTATAGACTAGACTATAGACTAGACTATAGACTAGACTATAGACTAGACTAGACTAGACTATACACTAGACTATAGACTAGACTATAGACTAGACTATAGACTAGACTATAGACTAGACTATACACTAGACTATAGACTAGACTATACACTAGACTAGACTATAGACTAGACTATAGACTAGACTATAGACTAGACTATAGACTAGACTATAGACTAGACTATAGACTAGACTATAGACTAGACTATAGACTAGACTATAGACTAGACTATAGACTAGACTATAGACTAGACTATAGACTAGACTATAGACTAGACTATAGACTGACTATAGACTGGACTATAGACTAGACTATAGACTAGACTATAGACTAGACTATAGACTAGACTATAGACTAGACTATAGACTAGACTATAGACTAGACTATAGACTAGACTATAGACTAGACTATAGACTAGACTATAGACTAGACTATAGACTAGACTATAGACTAGACTATAGACTAGACTATAGACTAGACTATAGACTAGACTATAGACTAGACTATAGACTAGACTATAGACTAGACTATAGACTAGACTATAGACTAGACTATAGACTAGACTATAGACTAGACTATAGACTAGACTATAGACTAGACTATAGACTAGACTATAGACTAGACTATAGACTAGACTATAGACTAGACTATAGACTAGACTATAGACTAGACTATAGACTAGACTATAGACTAGACTATAGACTAGACTATAGACTAGACTATAGACTAGACTATAGACTAGACTATAGACTAGACTATAGACTAGACTATAGACTAGACTATAGACTAGACTATAGACTAGACTATAGACTAGACTATAGACTAGACTATAGACTAGACTATAGACTAGACTATAGACTAGACTATAGACTAGACTATAGACTAGACTATAGACTAGACTATAGACTAGACTATAGACTAGACTATAGACTAGACTATAGACTAGACTATAGACTAGACTATAGACTAGACTATAGACTAGACTATAGACTAGACTATAGACTAGACTATAGACTAGACTATAGACTAGACTATAGACTAGACTATAGACTAGACTATAGACTAGACTATAGACTAGACTATAGACTAGACTATAGACTAGACTATAGACTGGACTATATTAGGCTATTAACAGAACTATATACTGAACCGTAGACTAGACCAACGACTACAGCATAGGCTAATCTATAGTAAACTCTAATCTGGTATTTAGTCTTGTCACTAAACTTTTGTTATTATTGCAATTTGTAAACTAATAATTTAATTTCTTTATTCAAGATTCCGTCAACGTTTATTATTGGATCAACGTACAACACCTTTGGAAACATCCATATATTGGACGGAATATGTTTTGCGTCACAAAGGAGCTTATCATTTACAATCTCCAGCACGTAATATGAGGTATGTTTACATTCAAACGACTTACATTAGACAGTAGTAAATAAAAAATGATTGATTTGTAACTAAAATTATGTTTTTTTTCGATTCTAATTTAAGTTGGCTACAATATTATTTGATTGATGTTGCAGCTTTGTATGCTGCCGCCTTGTATGCGATTTATTTCTTAATGAGACGTGTTTTTGCACGTTTTGATGTGATACGCAGCCTACACACTCCCACAAAAGCTAAAAGGATGTAAATAATTAAGTTTTCTTTGTAACAATTTTTAGTTTAATTTCTTTAGTTTAATTTAACTTAAGAAATATGTGTATTTTTTTATAAATAATTTAGGTTTTATTTATAATTTTTGTTTAGCTTAAATGGGTGATATTGTTGTCTCAAATACTACTATTTTATATAAATAATAATATTTTTGTTTAATGTGCGTTGAGTGTCCTTAAAATGTTTAATCAAAAAGATATATTTATAAAATTAAAAATCTTTTAATATTTGTTGCTGTAATGTAGGGTATTTAACTAATACTTATTGTATTTATATAAACAAAATTTGTTTCATGTTTTGTAAATATTTTCTTGTAGTTTTAATAATTTCTTAAAAAGAAATATTTTAACAAATTTTAGTTTTAGTTTAATTTTTATTTAAAATAACAAATGTAAAGAATTCTTAAGAAATAAACTATAAACCAAAGTTAATTATTTTGTCCATAAAAATTATAACACAAAATGCTAATTAATAAATTTGTATGAGTATGAAAAAGTTAAATACAGTTATACACGGTCCACAATATAGAAATACGACGAGGTGAGTAGAATCTTAAGTCATTTCTTAACGAATTAAGACTATAGACTATACATACTATAAACTAGACTCCAGACTAGACTATAGACTAGACTATGGACTAGACTATAGACTAGACTATAGACTAGACTATAGACTAGACTATAGACTAGACTATAGACTAGACTATAGACTAGACTATAGACTAGACTATAGACTAGACTATAGACTAGACTGTAGACTAGACTATAGACTAGAATATAGACTAGACTATAGATTAGACTATAGACTAGACTATAGACTAGACTATAGACTAGACTATAGACTAGACTATAGACTAGACTATAGACTAGACTATAGACTAGACTATAGACTAGACTATAGACTAGACTATAGACTAGACTATAGACTAGACTATAGACTAGACTATAGACTAGACTATAGACTAGACTATAGACTAGACTATAGACTAGACTATAGACTAGACCTAGACTATAGACTAGACTATAGACTAGACTATAGACTAGACTATAGACTAGACTATAGACTAGACTATAGACTAGACTATAGACTAGACTATAGACTAGACTATAGACTAGACTATAGACTAGACTATAGACTAGACTATAGACTAGACTATAGACTAGACTATAGACTAGACTATAGACTAGACTATAGACTAGACTATAGACTAGACTATAGACTAGACTATAGACTAGACTATAGACTAGACTATAGACTAGACTATAGACTTAGACTAGACTATAGACTAGACTATAGACTAGACTATAGACTAGACTATAGACTAGACTATAGACTAGACTAGACTATAGACTAGACTATAGACTAGACTATAGACTAGACTATAGACTAGACTATAGACTAGACTATAGACTAGACTATAGACTAGACTATAGACTAGACTATAGACTAGACTATAGACTAGACTATAGACTAGACTATAGACTAGACTATAGACTAGACTATAGACTAGACTATAGACTAGACTATAGACTAGACTATAGACTAGACTATAGACTAGACTATAGACTAGACTATAGACTAGACTATAGACTAGACTATAGACTAGACTATAGACTAGACTATAGATTAGACTATAGACTAGACTAGACTATAGACTAGACTATAGACTAGATTATAGACTAGACTATAGACTAGACTATAGACTAGACTATAGACTAGACTATAGACTAGACTATAGACTAGACTATAGACTAGACTATAGATTAGACTATAGACTAGACTAGACTATAGACTAGACTATAGACTAGATTATAGACTAGACTATAGACTAGATTATAGACTAGACTATAGACTAGACTATAGACTAGACTATAGACTAGACTATAGACTAGACTATAGACTAGACTATAGACTAGACTATAGACTACACTATAGACTAGACTATAGACTAGACTATAGACTAGACTATAGACTAGACTATAGATTAGACTATAGACTAGACTAGACTATAGACTAGACTATAGACTAGATATAGACTAGACTATAGACTAGACTATAGACTAGACTATAGACTAGACTATAGACTAGACTATAGACTAGACTAGACTATAGACTAGACTATAGACTAGACTATAGACTAGACTATAGATTAGACTATAGACTAGATTACGGACTAGACTAGAGACTAGACTATAGACTAGACTATAGACTAGACTATAGACTAGACTATATACTAGACTATAGACTAGACTATAGACTAGACTACAGACTAGACTATAGACTAGACTATAGACTAGACTATAGACTAGACTATAGGCTAGACTATAGACTAGACTATAGACTAGACTATAGACTAGACTATAGAATAGACTATAGACTAGACTATAGGCTAGACTATAGACTAGACTATAGACTAGACTATAGACTAGACTATAGACTAGACTATAGACTAGACTATAGGCTAGACTATTGGCTAGACAATAGGCTAGACTATAGACTAGACTTTAGACTAGACTATAGACTAGACTATAGATTAGACTATATACTAGACTATAGACTAGACTATAGACTAGACTACAGACTAGACTATAGACTAGACTATAGACTAGACTATAGACTAGACTATAGGCTAGACTATAGACTAGACTATAGACTAGACTATAGACTAGACTATAGACTAGACTATAGACTAGACTATATACTAGACTATAGACTAGACTATAGACTAGACTACAGACTAGACTATAGACTAGACTATAGACTAGACTATAGACTAGACTATAGGCTAGACTATAGGCTAGACTATAGACAAGACTATAGACTAGACTATAGACTAGACTATAGACTAGACTATAGACTAGACTATAGGCTAGACAATAGACTAGACTAGAGATCAAGGTCTTGAGAATAGTCTTGACTATAGACTTCATCGTAGTCCAGTCTATTATTATAACTAAAGTTTAGTCGATAGTCTAGTCTGTAGGCTTGATAATGCCTGATCAATAGTCTTGGCTGTAGTCTACTTAATAGTTTTTACTGCAGTCTAGTCAATAGTTTAAAGTGTACTCTTGTCAATAGTCTAAACTATAGCCTAGTTAATAGTCTGCATAGTCATTAATCTTGCATGTTGTCTAATAAGTAGTTTGAACTGTAGTCTAGTTCATAATCTTGACTAAACAGTATCGACTTTAGTCATGTCAATAGTATTGAATATAGTATAGTATAGTCCCGACTAGCTCATGGTGTTTGATTATAGTCATGACCTAGGCTAATTTGAAATTTTGACTTTAGTCTTGATAATTGTAAACTCTTGACTATATTCTAGTCATCATTCTTGACTATGAACTGGTCTATATTTTATGCTGTACTCAATAATTAGCGATCAAAAGTACACATGAACCTTTCAAAAGATATAATTAAAAAATACATATACATATGTGAGAAAAAATGCATTAGTTAGTTTTAACCGTTGAATTAATATCTGCAACTTGTATTAAATCATTTTTCCGGACATACAACATAACTCCAGCAAATGTGGCACCACACAAACCAATAACAACGAGATTCCACATCAAAACCATAACAATTTTTTTGGTTCTAAAAATAATTAAAAAAAATATATTACTCAGTTAAATTAAAACTATGGAATATATAAGAAATATGTAGAAAGTAATAGATAAAAAAGTTAAAACTTACGTAAACACTTTCGATTTGATTAGATCCGTAAAACTTTTATCTAAATCCACAGCTTCTTCTACCCAAAATAGAGGCATCACCAAAGGTTTTAGTTTACTCATAACAGGTAATTCTTGAATAGGTTCCACATCTAAATTAAATTGCAAACGCTTAGCTATAGATAATGGCGTACCAGATATCTGTAGAAATAAAGATAAACATTTCAATATAAACCGAATATTTCAAGATTTAAAACTAAATACAATTTCAAAATCTATAAAAATGCCATGTTTCTGTTCATCCGGCTGCAAACCCTCGACATCTTCTAATAATTTTGGATCAGCATTTAGAAAATGCGGCATAGAAGCAATCATGGGAGTTTCATTACACAACGATAAATCCATGGTACCCTTGGCAGGACAATTATCGGGATAATCTTTACAAAAACAGTGATTTTCCGGTTCATTCTATAAACACATAAGCATTAACAAAATAACAATTATATAGTAATCCTTCTACCTTACCTTTACATCTCCAAAATCCATTGTATATCTGAAAGCGGGTATACCATTATATTTAACTTTCTTTTGATACTGAGGCCCCAGTGAACGACATAGATCTGGTGAAAATGTCCATAATCCTTCACTGGGCTTCATTAGCGGGGCAAATATTGTGGAGTCAGTTCCTTTTAGTTTATTACACTCCTCACCAGGCCAAACGTTTAGTTCATCGTCTCCTTCAAACTCTAGGACTTGACCCAACATACGATTGTTTTTAATGCCACGGGAGACTTTGAAACGCCCAGCATCACTGTGATTGCTCTTAGAAAATAGAAAATTAGGCCCCAAGAGTAAATTAAAACGTAATTTAAAATAAAGTTAGTTAAGTTCTAGTTCAGCTCTAGTTCAGTTCTAGTTCAATTCTAGTTCATTCTAGTTCAGTTCTAGTTCAGTTCTAGTTCAGTTCTAGTTCAGTTCTAGTTCAGTTCTAGTTCAGTTCTAGTTCAGTTCTAGTTCAGTTCTAGTTCAGTTCTAGTTCAGTTCTAGTTCAGTTCTAGTTCAGTTCTAGTTCAGTTCTAGTTCAGTTCAGTTCTAGTTCCGTTCTTCTAGTTCAGTTCTAGTTCGTTCTAGTTCAGTTCTAGTTCAGTTCTAGTTCAGTTCTAGTTCAGTTCTAGTTCAGTTCTAGTTCAGTTCTAGTTCAGTTCTAGTTCAGTTAGTTCAGTTCTAGTTCAGTTCTAGTTCAGTTCTAGTTCAGTTCTATTTCAGTTCTAGTTCAGTTCTAGTTCAGTTCTAGTTCAGTTCTAGTTCAGTTCTAGTTCAGTTCTAGTTCAGTTCTAGTTCATTCAGTTCTTTCTAGTTCAGTTCTAGTTCAATTCTAGTTCAGTTCTAGTTCAGTTCTAGTTCAGTTCTAGTTTCAGTCTAGTTCAGTTCTAGTTCATTTCTAGTTCAGTTCTAGTTCAGTTCGAGTTCAGTTCTAGTTCAGTTCTAGTTCAGTTCTAGTTCTTCTAGTTCAGTTCTAGTTCAGTTCTAGTTCAGTTCTAGTTCAGTTCTAGTTCAGTTCTAGTTCAGTTCAGTTCTAGTTCAGTTCAGTTCTAGTTCAGTTCTAGTTCAGTTCTAGTTCAGTTCTAGTTCAGTTCTAGTTCAGTTCTAGTTCATTCTAGTTCAGTTCTAGTTCAGTTCTAGTTCAGTTCTAGTTCAGTTCTAGTTCAGTTCTAGTTCAGTTCTAGTTCAGTTCTAGTTCAGTTCTAGTTCAGTTCTAGTTCAGTTCTAGTTCAGTTCTAGTTCAGTTCTAGTTCAGTTCTAGTTCAGTTTCTAGTTCA